TTCTGCGGAAATTATAAGTCTAGTTTCTAGTAGGGTTCACTTTGAGGATTCAGTCAATCTTTAAAAACTGTAGGTGTCCTTTACACAATGTTTCTGGCGCACTATAGCCCCGACGCTGCTGCGCCAAAAATACCCATACAGCAACAACAACAATGTCAGTAAGAATAAAACAACTTTACCCATTTTATACAATAATAATAATGATATACATAGACTTTGTAATACTACAAATAACACAGAATAATCCACTCTAGCTCTTAAAATCATGGCAATACAGGCATGCGCGAAGGGAACAACAGCAAATGCAGGCGTGCAAGAGGAATGCGGCAGTACAGTAGGGACGTAAAAAGGGCATCGGTCTGGGAGCTGTCTATTGTTCACCTGGCCTGCTACACGATTTACGCATTTCTTTTTTCACCTGTGCTCAGGATAGTAGATTAAGTAAACTATCAGGAAGATTATTAGAATATGTGGGTACATAATACTTCCTCATTCTGTTCCCATAATTAGTGTATATTTTCGGTATGTGAAATCTTTCTGTATGCCTTAGTTATTTTTCTTTAGCGGATGGTATTTTGGAATCGTGCATGTAATAATATTTTGTCAGGACCATGAATTTATGCAGGTCTTCCACTGTTAACAATCAGAGTTTTAACAGCTGTTCTTCAAACGAAAGACTTTCTGAGGGTGTGCCATACGTCATGTTCTGCTTCATTTTTTTAATTAGGTTATTTATTTTTTTTGTATTCTGTATTGGGATGAGAGTGCATAAATGGTTATACCGTATCTTAGTTTTTATTCACCTAACATATGGTAAATCAATCGCCTTAGATTAATACTTGCAGAACTTCGGAGTTTATAGAGGTATGGAGAAATTCGCAGGTGTTTAAGTAGGTAGTCAATATGATGATTCCAGGATGAATACTCGTCAAAGTGTATAACAAGGTACCAGGGGCCGCTTGCTAGAAAGTCTTGACTCAAGTCTTGGCTCAAGTTTTGACTCAGGCGCCTGGCGGTCTCGGCTGAGACCGTGGCTGAGACCAAGACGGATCCAGCACGGTCTCCGGCGCGGTCTTGACTCAAGTTTGGTCTTGAGTCTGGCACCCAGACTGCCCAGACCGCCAAGAACGGAGTGAGCAGTACCTAGAGAGGGAATCTAGGGAAAACTGAAGAAATACCGGAGGAAACAAAGGGTGCGTTCCAAATCTACTCGAATGGATCCGAGTTACCCTGGCAGATTATGTCACGTGACATCAAAAATCGAGTAATGCCGGACGCGGGTAAGTTTTCGATCGCAAAGGTACAAAACCTTTACCCTAGAGTGAGACCGAGTAAATTTTGGAACACGGCCGAAGATTCCGGACGTGGAAGTGACGAGTTGTGATCTCCTGTCCAATAAGAAAGCGCCGGCGACGCGAGGCGGCAAGTGAGAGATCGTCTGCTTCTGCTACGCTGCGATCGGTTTGTGCAAAGAGAAACGACGACAGTCGCAAAACTGCGGCACATGTCTCGTACATACCGTGGTTCTGTGCAAAATAGAAGAAAGAAAAAAGAGTCAGCGATGCTCGGTTTTGGGTAGAGCTTAGTGCGCACCAACGCTGTCATATTGCTTCGTATCGCGATCGTCTGTCACCACCGTCGTCGACGTCCAGTGCGTACGCCGAATAAAGTTGTCTACAGAAATGCCTGCGTGTCCTTAGGCGCCAAATTTTTTAAGAAAAAAAAATGCGCTGGACGTATTTTCTCGTAAGCATTTGCAATAAAAGTTGATAATTATGTTTCAATCGTTAAGTTAGCAGACGACCGTCTGAGTTTGCTGCACGCAGACATGGATGTCGCCGGTCCATCACGGATGCCTCCCAAGGTAAAGAAATCAAATTGGTCCGAAGATGATAAGTTTCAATTGGTTTACGAAATCGAGAAACGAAAACGTATAATTAAGAACAAATTTAACAACAATATTACAAAAGCTGCTAAAAGAAAAGCGTGGCAGGCGATCGCATCCGTGATGAATTCGCGGCATCCATCGACGCTGCGCACTGTGCCGCAACTCAAAAAGCAGTGGCAAAACCTCAAATCTCGCAGCCGCGCTGAACTGACCCTCTCGAAGAGAGCAGACTCCACGACCGGTGAGTTTACTATACATGTTTTTACTGCACATAAAAATGAAGCACACATTCTGTGTGCTAAAGAAGTTTTTTTCCACTTTCTCATTTTCTTGGCTAAATTATAGAAGCAATTAAGATATAAAGCTATTATTCAAATCAAAACAATGAATGTGCCTGCTGCAATCAGACAAAATTTAATGCTCAAACAAAATATAAAGAGAACCTTGTCTTCCACAGGCGCAGGGCGCAACGACCACACGCTGACACCGCTGGCTGAGGCTGTGCTGGCGGTCATCGGTTCCACAAGCCCCAACCTTCTGGGTATCGAAGGAGGCATAGACACCGACGAGTGAGCTGTCATGCTACTGCTATTTGTACGAAGTCTAGCCTTTCGAGATTCACATGATTGGGGGTTCCACTAGCAAAGCTAATATTGTATTCATAGTCATATCTGAAGTTCGCAAGCACTAAATACTGGGCCACTCAAAGAAATGTTCTGGTGTGTTCTCTCCAGAGCAAGAAAGAACCGTGCACGTCCAAGAACTCTAAAACTTTGAGCCATGTTACTTGAAGTTAAAGTCGAGCTAGGCATGTCAATGAAAGACCACTGCGCTCATCAATGATGATAATAAAAATAATATAAACAATAATAATAATAATAATAGTAATTATTGGACTAGGAGAGCCACGGCACTGCAGAAAGGCTGCAGCCCGTGCAAGGTACGCCCGCAATGCCACATCTTGTGATGGTGATTATGTGATGATGTAAGATCACGACCTAATCTTGTGAGATGCAAGGTTAAAATGATGGTGATTATGAGCCGACATGTACATGGGGAGGACGACGCAGTCTTCTGAACATTGCAAGCGCCGTTGGCCGAGTCTTGAAAGTTTGGGAAAGAAAAATGACAGCAGACTTAGGCTGGTACACTGCTGAAATGGTAGAAGGTATATCTTAAAAAGGTATCATGCAATGCGAACAAGACAAAGGGGATTGTGTTTCTACTACACTACCATTACAAAATACATTATACTCTCATGATTTCAAACTCCAGGAAGCCATGAATTTCGCTTGATTTATCAGAAATTTATCTAAATAATGATGCAAGATAAAAATATGATTTGCCTTATGAGTAGCTTCACATACACAGAAGGTATTTCATGCTTTCCTTTACATAGGCCTACTGATCATAACCAGGTATGCTACACATGAAACATTCGTGAAATGTAAGACAAAAGTTTATTTATCCCTCAAAAATGTTCATTGTTGTGTGCTGTTCAAACAGCAGATGACAACTCAAAACAAAATTCAGTTTGTTCATCGGGTCAAGAAGTTGTTTAGTGTGAACTATTAAACGGGGGACACGGGAACAATAAAAACGGGCACTGCGCCACAGTTTTCATAGCAACTTGTGAGGACGTTGTGACTTGCCCATGCTATGCCACTTAAATTCAATGCCGTTGTCCTGTAATTCATATTTTTTGTTCTTTCAGCCCTTTTGTTTAGTACACTTCTTTCCGAGCATCGGTGCACTGCAGAGGGAACACCCATGGATCTGTTGCTTCTCCGCAATGTGCCAGCGCTCGGTGTATGCCATGCTACCAGATCACAGCGTCTGCGCAAGTTGCTGTAGAAATTTCCGCATGAGCCCCGTTGAGTGCGCTTATCACCGAGCGCCGGTGCATTGCGGAGAAGCAACAGCTCCATAACTGTTCCCTCTGCAGTGTACCGGTGCTCGGCAAGAAGCACACTCAACAAAAGGGCTGCAAGAACAAAAAATATAAATTACAGGAAAACGGTATTCGGTTTAAGTGGCATATGGATACACTGAGAACATTAGCGAGACAACCAAACTTAGGAAATTTGTTTGAATTAACCAGAAGTATAATATCCGAATTCGAATTATCGCAAGACTACCGTATACAAGCTAGACTTTTATGAAGTCAAGCCGAACTATGACAAACAGCAAAACAAATATATTGTTTTATGTTGAAAACTCTACTGCTACGTAGACCCAAAGGTCACAAACACAAAGCTTAGACCTCATTTGCTTCAGGTCCGTTGTATTGGGATGGCAAGTGAAATGAATAAAGGCACAAAGCTGAGACAGTCTGTTACATAAACATATTTGTGCGAGATTAGTGTGCTGAAATCTCGCTCATTTGTAGGTAGCATTCACTGTCACAGCTGAGTTCACTGCTGCTGAGCATATGCTGACGTCAAGCTTTTGCAACACTTCCAACATGCACATTGCATACCATGAGGAATGTCTTTTCTGGAATAAAGCCACCCTGAAAGGGTGAACAGTATTGATAAATAAAAGAAATCAGAAGTAATCCTCAGCAGTCAGTTCAAATATGGTGTACAACCGACCAGTAGACACTATCACTATATTTAGAATCACCCTGAGCACCTCTGCTGCTCAACATGGTAGTCTTTTTGACATAAAACAGAATTGTAGGGACAAGCAACCAGAAATATGTGGCCGGCATCAACACTGCACACTGGATCTGCATGAAGCCGGCTGCTTTCACAACTAATAGCCGCAACAGCCAAGATCGGGCTTGACCTGCACACTGTAGTGGCTTTACTAAAGCCCACATACTTTCACAACTAATAGCAGCAATGGCCGAGAGCTGAGGAGTCGAGCTTGATCCACATGCACACAAAAAGCAAGAATGAAATACAAATAAGAGTGTTCTCAAATTATGTACAAGGGTGACAAGACTGACATTCTTGTGTATTTTCCTTAGCGCCAGCACAGCACCAGTCAGCGTGCAGCCAACCACTAACGAGGTGGTTGGAGAGGGCAGAGTCCTGAACTACGAAGTTGAAGTGGACCCCGGGGTCGCATTCTTCGAGGTGCCGGAGTCCGAAGAAACACAGGACTACGAGCCTCCGGACTGGCCGCTGGACGAGGATGAGGCACCCGTGGAGCCTGGTGCAGCAGCTGCGCTGCTACGTCGGGAGGGGCCTCCTCCTGTGGCAGGGGGACCGCCTGAGGAAGCAGCTGCTGCTGAAGGGCGACCGGCACCACTGGGCCGGCAGGGACCACCTCGTTCACGACCGGTCTGGAGGCCCAGCGCACCACCCGCAGGCTCGGCAGCCAGCACACGGGCTGCAGACAAACAGTTTTATAGGGACATCATGGAGCAACAACACGAGAACGTAAAGTTAGAACGGCAGTGCCTCCTTGCCAAACTGAAGGCGACGGAAGAGCAGGCAAGGGCATCGGAAGAGCAGGCAAGGGCAGCAAGGGCAGCCCGCGAGGCTGCCGAAATGATGAAAAAGGCTGCAAACTTTTATATTGAACAGGGAGAAAAAATTTTCATGTTACTTGGGAAGGCCCTACAACAAGACCCTTAAAGGGTAGGAGGGGCCTTCAGTTTGGCAAAGAGGCACTGCCGTTTTAGCTGTACTTTGTAAATACAATAAACAGTTTTTTTTTTGTTAGTTCTCTTCAATGTCTTTTTGGTTCCAAGTATGCAAAAAAATTCCACTGCATTATGTATTTCATTTAGCAACATGCAAAACTAAAGAAATGATGGCACCATAAAAAATGCAACGACTTTTACACACTCAGCTAAGTAAAAGTGAAAGTCATTAGTGTAATAAACACGCATAAAGACCGCACCCGCAAAAAAAATGTTTGCCTTGCGCACCATTGCATTTGTACAGGCCTGAGCGATGTCACCGCCGACGTGGCATGCAGTCAGCATCAAAGCTTTTTTTTCCTTTGCAATCCTTACAATCATCTCCCTTCTTGCTGCCTTTTGTCGAAGTTGCTTAAGGCACATTCAGCCAAAACACCTAACTATTCATCTCCCTTTTTATGTTTGAGCAACCTTCATCTATGATCCACTGACGTCAAAGCCGAGTGGGAACGACAACGAAAGAAAGTACAAACTGCAGGTCCAAAATGGAAGTGCAGCGGCGTAAAGGCCCATATACACAGTTTCGTTTCAGTGCGTTTGACTGCACTGTATCGAAAAGTAGCCACAACTCCTTGGGCTGCCTGTGGTTCATATAAAACAAAGCAACTAACTTGCTTATCAGACGGCAAACAAACGGGGGCCCCGCACCATGCTGGTGATTGACTTCCCACCACATGGAAGCACTTACCAAGGCATAGGATGCCACGAATTGCCCGGACATGCACTGATGTGCACCATATTTTCTACAAACCTACCTGGTTTTTGGCATGCGAACTTGAAAAACTGTGCCAAACTTACGATGACGACATTCACCCAGCACGTACGGGATATTTCGGCGTTGGTAAAGTGTGCTACGAGCAGAAAGTTCCAATATGCCACCGACAAAGTTTTGATGCGAAAGGCTATTGTGTCGGAAGAACAAATTTAAATATGCGGTTCAAGGCGTAACTGGAATCCCGCAATTATTTGACCAGCGGCTCTAGACGCCACTCATAGTAAAGTTATGAGTTAGTGAAGTATTGATAAACAATGCAAGGATCCATATGTCATGGACCGCAAAGGCCGATGTCTCGGTGGCAGCGTTTCAGCGAGCATGCATTTGGGGGCCACTGCCGACTGATCATTTCCTTGGCGAGCTCGCGGCGAGGCATGCTTCCCGTACTCGGCGAGGAGGCCCCGAAGGTGCGCTCGAAACTTGGAAACTACATCATGAAGATAAAGGCAAAGGGCATCGTTATCACGAACAGGCAAGGCTGATGCAAAGAGTGTGTGAACATATATGTTAAAAAGTGTTGTCAATGCACCGCCACGAAGAGTCCTGCCAACTGTGTAGCCGCAGCCCTCCTCTGCCACTCGGACTTTCTTTTCTTTGACGGTTACTCTGTTGCGGGGCGACTCAATGAAACTATCGCCGCGATACATAGCAAGTGCTACAGCTGAATCAGGCGCATTTTACCATAGCTCTCGCTGCAAATGGCCGTCGCCTCAACCACCAGTATACAGTCGACTACAGACACGATGGTTGTAATCACATTCTGCTTGTACAGTGGCGTCGAAAAGAAATAGGGGGGCGGGGGGGGGGGGGGGAGACTGCCCCCCCGACAGGTCAAAAATTTAATGGAAAAGATATGGGGGAGGGGTGCAAACTTGCCCTTCCCCCCCACCACTGTCGCCCTCCCCATCTGCTGAATGGTTCTGACGTCTCTGTGCTTGTAATCACCCATTTTTTCTGACAAAACCTTTTACTTCAGTGTCCTATTCGAAAGTTTCTGGCAATAGCCACAGTTTCAATAGATTGTTCATGGTGACTGTTGTGTGTAGAGTGGTGGCACCATCCGGGACACGGACCGCAATCCTAGAAGATTACGCCACACCGCGGAAAAAATGCAAAGCACGCAGTCAACGGCCAACGCCAGCCAGTGAACCTATCATGTCTTCATTACGTAGCCTTGGTATCTTGAGTCAATAAATAGTTCATGTTATCCGGTCATCACCTACTGGCCAGGATCTATCATGTGGTGATGAGGATAAGATTGCATAGAGACTGCCGCACTCTACGGCCCCACATCGGAACGTACAGGTGAGGCAGAAGGTTTGTGAACATCGCCCTTTGTTCGGGCACCCCCCTTGTACCCTCGACAAGAAATGGCGACCCTGGGAAAGATAGGTGAATTCAACCCTGCGTTTCCGGAGAAGTGGGACGCCTACGAGGCAAGATTGAACTTCCACCTCAAGGCAAACGATATCACCAACCCAACCAGAAAACGTGCTGTTTTTTTTTTAGCGTTTGCGGAGCTGCCACTTTTGACTTAGTACAGTCACTACTCGCGTTGGCAACTCCCAAAACGAAGACCTTCAGCCAACCGTCGGAGATTGTACGCTAGAATGCCTTTACCGGCGGAATCAGGGTCCCGAGAAGTCTGTGGCCTTATTCATTGTGGAACTACGGCGGTTGTCACAAAACTGCAACTTTCCAAATCTCACGGAAACACTGTGAGATCTACTCGTGTGTGACCTGAGGGATGAAACTCTTGAAGCTCGACTTTTCGCAAAAAAAAAAAACTCTCGTTCAAGATCGCTCAGGAAGAAGTGCTGGCAGCTGAAGCGGCGGCTCAAAGCACCGCGATGTGAGGGGAGGAGAACCAGCTGTGGCAACCAACGTTGCCATACATCAGGACTGAGAGGAAGGAGAAAACACGCTTAGGCAACCGACAAGGAAACAGTATACCACGGGAAAACAAAGCCTTGCAATGGGTGCAGAGGAGCTCACGCACGGGAGTATTGTCAATTTAAGGATGCCCAGAGTCACTTATGCAGAAAAATCGGCCGCATCGACTGTGTGTGTCGCATGAAACAATGAGCGCAGAGCGGGCCATGGGAACAAGAGGATCCAAAACCATGACGAACGTTCTGAACTTGAAGACACAATCTGATGATGTGTACGATACTAACCAACTGGCCCCGCCACAGGCATCGCAGACACGTAAGCACCGGACGTCGGCAATGATGGAAGTTGACTAGGGGTCAGAGTTATCGATCATCCCAGAACAAACAAATGAGGTCATGAAGAAGATGCTGCACCGGGTGAGCCATTTCAATCGCAAGTCAGATTTCCATTGCAATACGGTGCAGATCAAGGGGGTGTATAAGGTCCATGTCAAGCACAGCAGTTTCGAAGGAGACCTGAAACTGCTAGTAACACAGGGACAGTGGACAACCCTCCTTGGCATGGACTGGTTTAAACCATTGGGAATCAGGCTGCTAGGGGTAAATAAGGTCACAGGGCTGTCTATTGAAGGTGTGCTTGCAAAGTATGAAGGCGTTTTTGGGTAAAAGATTCAGAAGTTTGAGGGACCCCCACTATCGCAGCACCTTGACTTTGCAATGATGCCAATCCGCATGAAACCCTAGCAAATGCCCTTTGCGCTCATGCTTAAAATTGACGCTGAACTTGATTGCTTTATTGAACAAGGCATTTTGGAGCCGGTCATGCAACCAAAGTGGGAGACCCCGATTGTGACGCCCATGAAGGCAACTGGAAACATTAGAATATGCGGCGCTTACAAGTGCACTTTCAACAAGGCACTGGCTCAACAGCCGTACCCGATCCCCATGGTACAGCACCTCCTGGCATCACTCTCGGGGGGGAGGCTGTTTGAAAAACCGGATTTGGCAGAAGCTTACCAGCAGCTGGTGGTTGATGAAGAAGCGGCGGGGGCACAAACGATCACAACCCATCGAGGAGCATTTCGAGTAAAGCGGCTACGGTTTGGAGTAAATGTTGCTCTAGGGATCTTTCAGAGCTTCATGGACGACATCCTGAAGGGGATCACCGGTGTTGTGTCATAATTCGATAACGTTCTAATTGCTGCAAGCACCAAAGAAGAGTTGGCAGGCCACCTCGAGGAAGTCCTGCACCGTCTTGCTGATGCTGGACTCAGGGTAAAAAGTGAAAAGTGTCATTTTGAAGTGTCGCAGCTCGAGTTCCTGGGATTTCTTATTGACGAGACGGATGTGCACCCAACAAAAGAAGAGGTGAAGGCGATTCATGAGGCACCAATACCAACAAGCAAACAGGAGCTACAGGCTTTCCTAAGACTGCTAAACTTCTATTGCATCTTTCTACGAAAAAGGCAGCAGTGGCCGAGCCACTACGTCAGCTACTTGACAAAGAGGCTCGGTGGGAGTGGACGCCTCTTCATGAACAAGTTTTCAACGAACGCAAGCAGCTGCTGTCCTCAGCAAGTGTGCTGCACCATTATGATGAAACAAAGCCCTTTGTGCACACTTGTGATGCCTCACCATAAGACATACATTAAAGCTGTACTTGGCCGTCGACCGGAAGATGACAAAGAGGTCCCCGTCGCATTTTACTCCCGCACATTGACATCTACCAAGCCAAACTATGTTCAAATCAACAAAGAAGCCTTTGCAGTGCTGGGAAGCGTAAAGAAGTTCCATGGCTACACGTATTGCCTTTGAGATCATAACACCACAAACCGCCTTTGGGACTGTTCACACCTGCAAAGCAAATGCCATACATGTTGTCTCCACGAATGTAGCGTTGGACGATCCTACAGAATGCTTATAACTACAGTTTGGATTATTGACCTTGGAAGGACATACAACATGCCGATGCATTTAGCTGCCTCTCACTTACCATTCCAGAGTTTTTGGTGCCACCTCCTCTAGAAGTTTTGTTTCTGGAGAACACATCCAATCCACCGCCCCACGCCAAGGACGGCGCACAAATGACAGCAAAGAACACCGTTTGAAGCGTTCTCAACTGGGCTCTGAAGGGTTAGCTGACAGGCGGCCTTGAGGCAAATTTCCAGCCATTCAAGATTCGACAACATGAGATGCAAGTTCACAAAGGATGTATACTTTGGGGGAACAGGGTCGTAATTCCCCCAGAAGGCAGGAAGGTGTTGCTGGAGGCCCTCCATGTCGGACATCCTGGCATTGACCAAATGAAGGCTCTGGCTCGCAGCTATGTATGGTGGCCCAAGATGGACAGAAGCATAGAAGAGCATGTGATCAAGTGCATGGCATGCCAAGAGTAACGACCTGCACCTCCTCGTGCCTCAGTAGACGCATGGAATGCAACTCCAGCACCGTGGTCTCGGATGATGGGGCTCAGTTCACCTCCGAAGAATTCCGCACATTCTTGAAAGCCGGTCTCATCAGACACATCACGTCAGCACCCTTCCACCCGTCAACTAACGGACAAGCAGAGCGCATGGTGCACACAACGAAAGATTCGCTACAGCGTATTGTAAAAGGGAACATGAGGGCAGCATCTGACCAGTTTTCTGCTACAGGAGCATGTAACACCATGCATGATGACAGGCAGGAGCCCAGTGGATATGCTGATAAACAGGAGGTTGAAGACGATACTTGACCGACTGCACCCAGACCTGACTGAGAGCATGAGGAAGGGAGCTGATGAGAATTCCAGCGAAGGAGCCCAACCGAAGTCACAATGTTTCGAACAGGAGACCCAGTATTCATATGCAGCTACAGCAGTGGCCCTTCATGGATACTGGCGACAGTGGTTGAAATGACGGGTCCAGTTTCCTACAAAACCCGCACCCAGGAGGGCATTATCGTGCGACGTTCTGTCGACCAAGTGTGTAGGAGCGGTGCATCGAGAGTTGCAACAGACAGCATCAGTCACGGACAGCGGCAAGCTGCTCGTCCTGAACCACCTGAGCACCCGAATACAGGCAGCGCAGCGCACATGTCAATGATGGCCCAGTGCAAGATGTGGATGTGGCCAGGCAGAAGAGATGAGACGGGGCTCGAGCTCCCCCCCAAGCGGTGAAAGGAGTGTTGTGTATTGAGTGGTAGTACCATCTGGAAACAGATGCCAAACCTAGAAGGCCACGCCACACCGCAGGAACAATGCGAAGCACGCAGTCAACGGCCTACATCAGCCAACGAACCTGTCACGTCGTCATGTAGCCTTTGTATCTTGAGTAAATAAATAGTTAATGTTATCCCGTCGTCATCTACCAGCCAGGATCTAACAGTGACTATACGTGAAGAGTGCTGAAAAAATTTTGTTAGTTACGGCCTCATTATTTCAAGCACAGTATGATCAAACCGTTTAAAAAAAGTTGGCCCCGAGATATCCGTAGACAGCATGATTAGTACTTGTACCTAACTAATTCAAAAACAACCCCTACCTCTAACTCTTACTTTTTTTCCAGTTTTCTGTGCACCTGGTTGTATGCGCACTCCACTGGCGTGTCTACCCAGCGGTAGGGCACGATCAATCACGGCCATCGTAGCCGATCGCCATCCGCGATGACGAGCCCGTTTGAAGTTCCTCCTCCGAAGTTGTCTCTGATACAGCTCTGCGATAGCATGTGGTGCTTCCTTGCCACTTGGCGACCACCTCACGATCTGTGAGCATATGCCGACCACCAAGAGGACTACCTACTTGTCCGGCGTTGGTTCCGAGGAGCTCCGCTGCTGGTGACCACCTTAAGTGGAGAAATATGTCTGAGATTCGTTCACGAGAGACAATAAAAATGCTAGCGCAGTTTCGATTCAAATATATATGGCCACGCCATAACAATTCCTAGCGAAGGTTCATAAACACTGCTATAACGCATCAAGCTACTCGCTATCTTCCAAAATGTTTTGGAACATGACGTCCGTCGGGAGTTGACGCTGACATTTTGAGAAACTGTTTGCTTTTCCGACTGTTTTTAAACACGAAACACATAATTTTACAAAGGAAGGATTGCCTCGGAACTGTACCTCGGCAAACTCCGTGATCCTCGGGTTGAAAATCGTCTGAATAATAAGACTACGTACTACGTCTTGCTTTCCGTTCATTCTTGAATGGATGGCGCTGCATTTGTGTCAGAAACTGAACCGCAAAAATAAGTTATAATTATGCCAAACTTATTCACATTTGCCTTTACGAAACAGCAAAACAAAACAGTGGTGTTATTGATATTATTTCTTACCTGAGCACTTACATCAGGACATAGGTGACCAGTCGAGCTCACAGGAAAACAAGCGATTGCGAAACCACCAAACCGAAAACGAAACAGTCGTGGCAGGCTTCCCTGTCGAAGACGTTGATGGCGTAGAAGTAGTCTAAACTCGCTTCAACAAAAGCATTCACCCATTAAAAATGACTTGTAGCCGGTGCGTAGTGGCTGGTGGTAGCCACGTCCGACATTTTGTTTTCTCAGGCGGTCTCATCTTGGGTCTCAGCTGAGACCCAACGTAAGACGCCGGTTGAGCCGCTTGCTCGAAACGAAATTAGAACCGTCTCAGCCAAGTCAGGACTTGAGTCCGGTACCTACAACCGAGTGAGCGGTGCCTCGAGAGGGAATCTAGGGAAAACGGAGAAAAACGAAGAATCCGGACGTGGATGTGACACGGGGTCGTCTGCTACGCCGCGATCGTTTTGGACAGCGACAAACGACGACAGTCTCATAATTACTGCGTCGTGTTTTTCGTGCAAACCGTGGTTATACGTGAAAAGCGACAGCAAGCCGCGGTTCTGGGCGTTGTCTGTCACCACCATCGTCGACGTTGAGTGCGTACGCCGAATAAAGGTGTCCACAGAAATGTCTGTTCGTGCCGATGCATTTTCTAAGAAAAAAGAACAACACTGTACGTCCCTTGAAAGGTAAAGACGAATGTAATTTGGTGCAAACATAAAAAGTATCAATTGGTGTACGAAATGCAGAAACAAAAACGCGTAATTCGAGAGAAATTTAACAAGATTACAAAAGTTGCTAAAAAGAAAGGACGGCATCTGTTCCATAGAGATCATACATACTGTGATGGTACGCACGAGACAAAAAGTAAAAAAAAAAAAAAAAAAAGTTGCAGAACGTAAAATATTTTAGCTGCAGAGTTGACGCTTTCCACAAGGGCGAGTTTGTTATACATTTGTCTTTACTGCACATAAAAATGAAGCACGCATTCTATGTGTTCAATGAATTTTTTTCACTTCTTATTTTCCTGGTTAAATTATAGTAATAGTCAAGAGCTCTGGATTCGAACATCCCTTCTAATTTTCCTGGCTAAATTATAGAAGTTGTCAAGAGTTCTGGATTGAAAACTTTTATTACAAACAAATCAAAACAAAGAATGCACTTGCTGCAATCAGACAAAATCCAATGACCCAAGATAATGTAAAAAGAGCCGTCTTCCACAGGCACAGGACCAGTGAGCTGTCATGTTACTGCTGTTTCTACAAAGATACTAGAACGCAGTATGTGCCATTTGATGCAGACAAGTCTAGCCTTTTGAGGTTGACATGATTGGGGGTTCTAGCAAAGCTAACATTGATTTCATAACTGTATCTTGGGTATGCAAATACTAAATACTGGGCCCACTCTAGGAAACATTCCAGCAAGTTCTCTCCAAAGCAAGAAGGATCTGTGCACGTTCAAGAACACTGAAACTTTGAGCTATGTCATTTCAGTTAAAAGTCAAAATCGGTATTTTTTAATGAAAAAACACTGCACTTATCAATAGAAGAATTAATCTTGTACGCTGCTCAAGTGCTAGAAGGTACATTTTAAAAAGGAGTTAAGCAATGCAAACAATACAAAGGTTATTGTGTTTCCATTGCACCATCACCACAAAATACACAGGCTAGAAGCTTATGAAGTAAAGCCGCAACATGGCAAGCAGTAACATGAATTTGATGTTTTATGCCGAAAACTCTACGTCTCCGTAGGTCCAAAGGCGACAAACACAACACTTGGACCTCATTTCCTTTGGGACCCATTTTCTTTGGGTCCATTGTATTGAGATGCCAAGTCAAACGAATGCAAACACAAAGCTGAGAGTCTGTTACACAAATATGTATGTGCAGGTGCTTTTACCCATCTAGCTCATTTCACAGGTAGTATTCACTGGTGGCCATAGCTGAGCTCGCAGCTGCGGAGCACATATACTGACGGCAAGCTTCCACAGCACCTGCAACATGCACATTGCCCACATGAAGAATGTCTTTTAGAGTGCAGCTCTTAGGCGTGCGTCTCCGGAGTGAGTGGTGTCGGTGTTGGCCTAACTGCGCGTTACATTGGGACGTTTCCCATAATGACATCCCATGTGACGTCACTAGGGTCACGAGTGACGTCAGAAAGGTCACTTGTGAAGGTCATGAGGGAGGAAGGAGGATGAGGGAAGGGGTGGAGGGAGGATGGAGGGGAGGAGGAGGGGCATACCTGTTGGTAGTGTAATGAACCGTTATCGGATGGCGACACGAATCCAGCGCTAAGGTCGTGCAGCCGTTCCCCTTTTGTTTGCATTTTCCCCCCTCTCTTCCCGCTTGATAAACAAAATGGCAGCTTGACAGCTGTATGTCGTTTCTTCATCCCCAAATCCACTCGATCCGCGTCCCAGAAATGTGGTCACACTGTGCACTTAAGATAAACAAACAGGTTATGGGCCCAGGACGACACATCGACCATTATTTCGGAAAAGGGATCACCTTTAATGAGTGATGAAAAGGTACGACCACATTGAAGAAACAACTGTCAAGCAACACCGTCTTCGCTACGTCGTGCCGATGCCTGAAGAAGATTAGACGAGCATGAGTGTACTGAAACTGTCAAGGACGAAGTGACTGACAAGCGGTGTGTGCCCTTCAAGAAAGTAAAAGGTGGCGCATTCTTCATCAGACGAATGGAGCGTCGCCGGACACCGGTCTCGCTGCGGACTCCATGGGGTGTTATGTTCGGAAGACGTCTATATACACACACCAAGCGTGGGTACAGCGAAGTTGTCGGTAAGAAGTGACCTTTGCGCTTTCCGAGCAGGACGGATCATTGTGCGACACCTGTGGCTGTCGGAAAGAAGTACTGACATCGGTTCGGTGCGTGCCAGTGATGAAAGTGTCGGGAAGAAGTGACTGACACGCCAGTGACGAATCTCTCGGCAAAGAAGTGAACGAAGGAGAACTCCGTCGACGGTTCGTGGAAGACGTCGTCAAACCTGTACGTGTGTTCCTGCTTCGCTGGGTGCCACAAGACGTGCAACGGGAACCCAACGCAAGTTCATCGCTGTAAGCCTACTTCGAACCGCTCTCGACAAAGCAAAGCGATAGGATGGCGGCGCTGGACGAATTCAAAATACCAAAACTCTCAAACGAAAATTACCATGCGTGGGCGATTTGAGCCAGAGCGGCACTCGTCCAGAAAGGCTGTTGGGAAGCCATCGAGCCTGGCTATGGTGGGAGAGAAATGATGAACGACGAGAGGATGAACACCAAGGCTTTGACATTCATGTTCCTAGTAGTGGAAGACACCTGCCTGGACGGCATTGGGGAATGTTTGACAGCTCGTGAGGCCTGGAATACATTGGAAGAGATACATTTAAAGTGTGGGCTACTGCATGCTCTTCAGTTGATGGGAGACTTCTCCAGCACCAGAATGGAGCCAGATGAAACCATGAAGGATTACCTGGATTGAATAATAAACCTACAGAGGAAGCTTTAAACGGCAGGATACGCCTTCACTGACAGGGAAGTGGCACTGATGATGCTGATGGGCTTGCCAGAAACGTATGAATCACTTATCCTAAATCTTGAGCAAGACGAAGGAACGCTCACGACGAAGAAGGTGAAAGCAAGGCTGCTGGTAGAAGAAAAGCGCCAAGTCAAACGTAAAAAAGACAAACTAAATGAGAGTGAGGAAAACAAGGCCCTCATGACAAAGAACAAGCCATTATGAGGAGCAGTCAGCTCCACAAACGTAACGGGCAAGAACATTTTTCAAGGAAAGAAGCAACTGGCACTGGTACAAGCTGCTTTGAACCGAAACAATGAGTTCGGTGCGGAAAATTTGGACACATTGCCAGGGAATGCAAGGAGGGTCCCGATGACGAAGGATGCGGCTCACAGAGAAGACGAAATTCCAGTGAACCGAAGAAGGCGCTCTGTGCCAGAGGTGGAAGTTCCTCAGGGTCACACATCTGGTACCTTGGCAGTGGAGCAATTGACCACATGACGTCAAACAGAGCCAAATTCACCACTTTCAAGCCCTGCTGTTCGACTGTTGAGGCAGAAAATAAGGAGGTCATGGAAGTCGTCGGGAGAGGACAGGTAAAGATTGAACTTTCGAAAGACTGCGGTGGCACTGTCGTCGAGCTCCAAGATGTCCTCTACGTACCAAGCTTAGACGGTAACCTCTTGTCAGTTGGGAAGATTGAGGAACGTGGACTGAGCGTGACTTTCAGCAACGGAAAAGCTAAAGTGATTGAAGCAAATGGTGACCTAATTGTCGTAGCCAAACGCGATGGTAAATTGTACACTGAGAGTAAGTCGCTTGCAACATTGAAGTTAGCAAAGGCGACAGACGTCGCCCTGTGGCATCGACGACTCGGTCATCTCCACCATGAAGCTGTCGAAAAACTTTGCCAAAGTGGTAGAAGCAGTCAAGA